ATTATAAAAAACTTAAAAAATAGGTAAGTATAAGTCATTTTCACATTACCATCTTAAAGGTACTAAAATTGCGTTCACATCCCAACGAGCTACATGTCAAATTGAGAATTCGTATAGCCATTTGTTGCAAGTGCTTAACACTTGATCCATGCTTGGTCCACCATGTACCTATATCACAATATTAGATCTAACAAAAAAAATCAAGTAATAAAGAATAGAATAAAATTGTCTTAAACCCTCAACAAAGAAAATAAATTTAGCTTACCGGCCTTCACAGTTTTTCTTTGCCCTATTGCAAGTTCAGTGCCAAGTGGCCCCATTGCCATTCTATGCTTCTCTAGGTCTATTGACACTTGGTATTGCTCTTGTATAGTGGGGACGAGTCTAATCACACATGCATTGATGGCATCCATAAAATAACATTGACTTTCAATATGTGGATTGTCATAAAAATAAGCAGGGTTCAGATAGTAGCTTGCCAAATGGAGGATCCTCTCAAGCTGAGTCCCACCTACTTTGCCGATAGAACTTATCTTTGTGATCAAAATTTTGTGTAACCTCCTCGTTGGCAACTTCCACAATCTTGTAAATATGGCCGATAGTTGGCTCCTTCTTGCTATCTGCTAAGAGCAAAACTTTAACAAGTCGCTCGAAGGTTTTAATGGACCAATCGACTTTCTTCTAAAATGTTATTGTTTTGACAATATCAACTACCTACCTTCCCCATGAGTAGACCACTTCAATTGGTTTCACTCATCAGAAACAAACATTTTTCTTAAATTATCTTTTTATCTCTGAAGTCTGAAGCAACTTTAAGTACAAATAAGAGGTGGCAAATCTAGTAACCCCTGGTCTCACCAACTCATTCTTACAAATTTCCTCATCAAAGCCAAGACAGATGTGTGGTTGCGAATGAAACTGTGACTTTCTTAGCATTCTCCATAGCTGTTGTCACCACTCCTTTCTTATCAATGGTCTCGAGCATGCGGTCAATGCAATGTGCTGCGCCTGGGGTCCAAAAAATGTGAGGCTTCTTTTTCTCAAGCTCCCTGCCAGCTGCCATATTATGGGCAGCCATGTCAGTTACCACTTGGACTACATGATGCTCCCTCACCTCCACTATGCATTTCTCAACAGACTCCAAAATGAATGAAGCATCATTTTCTTCATTAGATGCATCAATTGAGTGCAAAAACATTGTCCCCAGTGGACAATTTACCATCACATTCATTACACTCCCACGCTTCTGGTCAAACCATCCATCAATTAGTATGGTTACTCCAAACCGGCCCCATGCATCCCTATGAGTCTTAAGATACTCATTGGTCAGTTCTACCTCTTTTTTAAGCTGAGGCTTCTTGAGCTCTCGTGGGGTAGGAATTGTATATCCAGACCTAAATTGGCCCATTGCTTCTACCATGGCTTGTAAGCTCCTCAAAGTAGTGGCATTGAAAGAAATGCCTGCTTGGTAAATCCATCTGGCCACATAATGATTTACTCGTTTTTTTTAGATGGATACCAATTGTAATTTGGCCCTTTCCTTGAGCCGCAACAGCAGGATCAGGGAGGACAAAGAAAGAATCTATAGGCCCTATCTCCACATCTATCATTGGCCTAGCCCTAATTTCATACTCCTTCCTCATCTCTTTGTTTCCAAATTTCAACTGATCTCCTAGTATCATCTACTCTTTTTTTTTAATGTATTCTTTCTTCTTCTTGGCCCAAATGCTTCTTGAATCCATTAATTCTGCATGAGTAGATTCTCTTATAGTAATTGGCTATTGCATTGGATCTTTTGTTTGTCCGGTAGATTTGGGCATGACCCATGCTTCTGCCTGGATCAATTTGTTTCCCAGTAGAACTAGAAGAGGACATTGTGATTCTGTGGATATGAGTATGTGACAACTGATAACTCAAGAGTCTGCACTCAAGGCAATGAGAAAGCTAGAAAAGCTCAATTTAGTAGAACTTTGCCAACTTAATTTATTATGAAATATAAATTTTCAGTTTACAAACTGAAAAGATAGCCAAACATATTACTCAATATTGAGTAATATTGTCAAAATTCGTATTACAAATTGAAAACATAGCAAAAACTATGCAAACATATAGTAATATTTTCAATTTTGGTATTATAAATTATAAACAAATGAAAAAAATACATAAAATATATTATGAATACTCGAGTTTGCATTATAAATTATAAGCATAGGCAAACATAATAAAAATAAATATAGACAAAAATGTAGTATAAATAAATTTGCAGTATACAATAGAAATAAATCCAAATATAGACAAATGATACTATAAATTTCCAATCTTATATTAAAAGCTAGAACCGGAGCCAAACATATCCATACAATATATTATAAACTTTTGATGTTGCATTATGAAGTAGAAATATAGCCAACCATACCTAAACACATGTTATAATCACTAAAGTATCCCTAACTGTGATGCTAAAATTCAAATATAAACACAAAAACATTACCTAAAAAAATAACATAATAAAATACTCATAGAAAAGATGAAACTAAACATAAACATAAACATTTAGGGCCAGTTTGGATGTACCTATAATTGGAATATTTTTCGATTGCAATCCAAAAATCTTTTGAAATGGATTTTGATTGTTTGGACAACTGCACATTTTTGCCATATTTTTAGATTGGAAGAAAAAAAATCTCATATCAAGGCAAAAAATGCCATCCAAAAAAATTCAACTTTTACTTGAATTTTTTTGGCTTGAGTCGCATTTCACGCGCCTCCCACTCTCTAACCCTCACGCTCTTCCCTCTCCTCCATGCGAAACCCTTCTCTCTGCACCCAATGGCCATGGCCCCAAACTTCCGCTCTTCCATAGCCCCAAACTTCCTCTGCGAAACCCTTTGCTCTCTACACCCAATGGCCCCAAACTTCCTCTCTCCCATCACCCCAAACTTCCTCTGCAAAACCCTTCTCTCTCTACACCCAATGGCCATGACCCAAACTTCCTCTGCGAAACCCATGGCCCAAACTTCCTCTGCGAAACCCTGCTGTCTCTACACCCAATGGCCGTGGCTATGGCCCTCAATCTCTTCATTCTCGCTTACCTATAACTTCATCAAGAAGAAGAAGAGTATGAAGAAGAAGAGGAATTAGGGTTTCTGCCTTGTGGGTGTGCAGAACTTTGAGGATATATCAACACTTTGAGCAAGAGCATCTTGGTTCCCTAAAAGCATCTCCTTCTTGGTAGTGGCTCGCTGCCTCTGAGCATGAGCTTTTGAGCAAGATCTCAATCATCTGGGCATTGGTGGCCTGGCTTATAATTCATGAGAGAGAAGATCAATGGAGTTTACACAGGCATACCCAACTGCTGAAACCATCTCTGTGATGCATTCTCGAGTCCTTACCTAAAGGTAAAGGCTGAGCTTCCATGTAAAGCTTGAGCTCAGAGGGCAAACCAAGAGCGGAGAGATCTAGGGTTTCGAACCCAATACTTGCGCTGAGAGGAGTTGATTTCAGAGAGGATGAGAGACACTTGATGAGAGATGAGAGAGAAATTCTTTTGGTGGTGGGCGGCAGAGAGAGAAGGGGTTTGATTAGCAGGGAAGGAGAAGGTGTAGAGAGCTAAGAGATCGGTAAGGAGGAGAGAAAAGAGCATTATGGCCTTGAGGATGGTGGAGTAGATAGTGGTGGACCTGAATCTAGCAATGCCATCCCCTATCTTAAGGGAAACATAGCCCATTGTTAGCGAGAGTGAGAGCTAAGTTACAGGAGGGTTTAGAGAGAGAAAGATTGGAAGGGTAGAATGCAGATTTTTGACTGATGGGAGGGATCCCTCTATAAAACCTTTTGGAATGGCAACATAGTGACAGTGTTGGAAGGGTAGAATGCAAAACTCCATATAGATATCGAGCAAATGAAATCTTGTATTTTCACACACCATCCAAATAATCCAACAGAATAATAAAAAAAGATCATTATATTTCTCAATTAAGGTTGAAAAACTTATAATTTTTTCAATGTGAAGGTTTTTTTATTTGACATCCAAACTGGCTCTTAAATCTATTAACATTTCAAAACCTAATCAAAGTAGGCTTCAATCGCTTAATATAGGATGCCGAAACCCCTCTTTTGCAACTTTTTGGCCTCCAAAAAGACCTATGTCAAATGCCTTTGATTTCAAAAGCAATTGAATACTTTGGGTTTGCAATCAGTTTTCAAAAAAATTTCGATTCAAGGTAAAAAAAGGTATTTTTGGGAGGAAAATCTCTCACTAGGGTTTTGGGGAGCTAAAATACACCCATAGCCTATTTCCCCCCTCTTGAAGGGGGGGAATGACTAAAAAGCCCTTTTGGGCTTGGCTCATTTTCGGCTCGCCGAAAGGGCCCCGGGCGAGCTTCTTGGCAGTTGGAGCTGGGCACCCGCCTAGGCGGCTGGGTGGGCGATTTTTTGAACATTGTTTACTCATTTGCAACTATTCCAACACACGATCAAGTGTCTTTTGATGTGTATTTGGAAATTAAATCAGAAGATATGGATTGAATATTAAATAGTTAATCTTTTTGGTTATTTGGATAAATTTCCCATTAAAAATTGAGAATATCTTATTACCCATGTGTTTCTGTTATATTTAGAAAATATGAATCTTCATTTTCTGTGTTCCAGTTTTAATTACTTGATGTAAAACCTTATTTTGGAATCATTTGGGGACAGTTTGCGCAGAATACACTTTCCCATACTTCATGTCATGTTATGCTGGTAAGGGGACCTTCCACCTTACCTACTCAAAAGTTGTGAAGCATTTTATGAGTTGTTTTTAGGCATTCCAAACTTGCAATGCCTAATCTGTTTGGAAGGCTTGAATGGTTTTGAAATACTTGGGGTATGCAATATGATGTAACTATTACAATAGAACCCTGAAAAGAAAAATATTTCACTATGACTGTATTTTTTAAATAGTACCTCATGACAGAATTTGATCACTGACCTTTTTAAATGACCATATTTTTCATCAGGTTGAAGGGGATGGGTCTTATATTCCTGCTTCAGAAGATGAGTTGATGAAATTTGAGCCTTACTCAGAAGATCCTGAAGATGAGAAGTTTTTGAGAAATGCTCTCTTTGATATGGATGCTGAAAATGCTGAGAGGAGCTTAGCTATTGAAGATTTTCCTTGCTCCATTGACGATTCTGTATTAAAGAACAATGGAGGTACTCACAACTATGATTTGTCCTTTTTTTCTAATGAGTGCATGCTACTGTACTGTGTGTCTTATGATTTTCTTGTGCTTTCTTTGTCGATGCATCACATTTGCATCAGTTAGTGGTCTCTAACCTAAGATGATGATAGGGATTTGCTAAAAATTGGTAAAAAAGTTAGTTCTTCTATGGAAGTTAGTTCTTGGTAAAAAATTTTTGTTCTTCTATGAAAGTTAGTTCTTGGTAAAAAAATTTAGTTCTTCTATGAAAATTAATGATAGAGATTTGATGAAGAAAACAGAAGATTAAACAAGTTCCAAGCAAACATAGGCACCAATTGAAGGGAATTAGGGTTCTCCCCAAGAGGAGCCCTATATGCCTCTTTTTATTCATATTCAATTACAAAAGTCAATAGTGCCCCTATCCAAAAATAAGATCCACTAAGTAGTCCTAACTTAAAAAAAAAAAAGTCACATTTTACCCCTGATAAAACAATGAATTCTATATGCACTCTTAACTAATTTTGTAGACAACTTCTAAAATACAAAAAACATGAAAGAAGCCCTAGAATCCAAAAAAAAAAAACTTAAAAACCCTAACATGAAAATTAAATTTAAATAGTAATTAAAAATAAGAATAATTTTGTCATGCATCAGTTAGCTAATTTGTAAAAACAAATTCTGAGAGATAATGGAGGAGAAGCTAAATTTCCTTTTCAATAGTTAGAAATGACGAATAGACATCTTCTTCAAGCATATGCATGATCGCCGACATGTTAGCCATCAAACCAAAGAAGTTGAATCCAACTATTCTATAGAGATGTCATGCTGTTCAGGTCTTTTTCTAGAAAATGGGTATGTAATTTTTTAATTCCAAGTCAAACAGTTGCAGTTCATTTAGCTTAACTAAAGTGATTTTGATGACATTGGGCAGACTATTTTGGTCATGCCCTGGAGGCGTGGAACTTGGTGTCGGATTTTGTTTCCTCGGTTCACATTGGAAGCTTTGCTCAATTCTTGTTACCTATGTGATTTTGTTTGATGTCTTTGGAAAGATTTTTTGGCCCCTTAGAGATGATATTCTTTTTATGTTATTTCTGTTTTATGTTGTTTTATTTTCTGTATTCTCTTCATTATGGACTTTGGGAGTCTGGTGCCATAGATGTGCATACTTGTGTTAATGTAGTGGTTTCCATTGTCTACTGTATCTTGGTGCCTTTCTTTGGTACTTCTATGTTCCTTGTGATGTTGTTTTAACTTGAATGTTGGTAAACTTGATCTTAATTATATCTACATGGAGGAGTATTGTCAAATGGACACTTGTTTAGTGGGGTCCACTCATCAGGTCAGTGCAAATGATTTTAAGGTTACCTTTGGTCATTTAAGCCTTATTATTTGCCGAAGGGCTAGTTTGGTTTCTTAACACATGCACACACACACACGCACTTGATGTCCTCTCATTTTGAGTTTGATATCCTTCATCAGGATAGTCCATTTAGCTTGTCCAAAGGCTCCCTATTGGGTTGCTCTCCTTTGTTGTTTCTTATTCATTTGTGTACTTCTCTAATTGTCTGTATTTTTAGGTACAACTATACAAGCTGATGCATGTTATGTAGCAAAGTAAGACTGATTAATTAATTTACAAAAAATAAATTTTGCAATAAATGACTTGATGATGGCTGCATTGACTATTGCAGTCATTTTGATCAATGAAAAGGAACTTTATATGATACTCTAGAAAATTATTTGCTTGACTCTTTCTGTATGTAAGTAAATAGGTGATTATCTAATATTGGGTGCTTCTATACAATTTTTTATCATTTTATTTCAGTTCAATTTTCTGGCACTTTGCATATTTTTTTTTCTCAATATTTGGATCTGTATTATTATCACTATTGCTTTCTGATGCATTTCAGGTGCTTTGGGATGTGATATCAGACAAGGGTTGAACCAGAAAATTGTTGATGTAAGTGTGATTGCCGAGTCGTTCTCAAATTATCTGTCATTATTCTGAAAGCAATAATCAGATTGGAAATTGTGGTAATATCAAAATTTTTAAAATGATTGCTTCTGTTTGTTAATTTAGAAATTTGTTTCTAATTTAATTATTTGAGAAACATGTGATAACTGGAGAGTGTCTGCAAGTTGAGATATTCGTTGTGTAGTCACAAGTTTTGAATTTACTCAAACTGGTTATGATGTAGAGATGGCATGTGGATCTTTTTCATCTCTGGGTTTAAAACCTCTTGGCAGCTTGTTTTTCTTTTCTTGTTCTGATGGGTGATTGTATAGAACTGGAGAATGATAAAATGGACAGCCAGAAAATTGTGGACCCTGATCTTGCTGCCTTTGCTAGCGAGATCAGCCCATATCGACCTATCTATCAGCCACCATGTTTGCTGCACTCAGAGGGTATTTGATCGTAAATCCATGATTTACACAAAAATGATTGGGGTATTGGGAATCTCCCATCAAATGGATAATGTTCTGATAAGTACTTTGATAATTACTTATCCATAAGAATTTCTGGTCAAATTCTCACTCCAATCAAGGCAGTATCACATATTGTATTGAGAATATTGAGACAACGCAATTTATTATTTTTTTTATTTTACAATTTTTCTAATTTTCTGTTAATTTATTTGAGACTTAAATATCAAAATTTACAAATGTCTATTTTTTGAACCCACGTTTTTACTTTTTGGGTGGAAATTCTAGGTAGCATATGCTTTTGTTATTCTCATTATGTTCTTGTGTGGAACTTCTAGGCAGCTGTTCCTATAATATTCTCAACAAGCAAAAAAAAGAAAATCAGAAAAAAAGAAAAGAAAAAATACATGCAGATAACATGTATCCAAGTGCAAATTGCAATCCCCTTTTGAAAATATCCTGAGTTATGGTTTCTACAAAATGTGCAATACATTTGTCACTATGCTTTACAGCTTCTTATGTACTTACAGCATAGAATGTATAAATTATTTGGGTATATTTCAGATTGTGATGGAATTTATGCTTTGTTTCATTTGAGAATACTGAAGTACATGATATATAACAGGAATGTTTATTTTGTTGAAGTCTAAACCTAAATGTTATTATTAATGTGCCAATTCCATCTTCTACTTGCAATTTTCATGTGATTCTTTATTGACAAATAATCTTCTTATTCATAAAACTTACCAGTAGGATGGTTGTGTCCCCCCAGTTTATTGATGTACTAGATGAAGATGGGGGCGAGCATGTACGTGTGACAAGTAGCATCTCCCCGGAATTTCTTCTGGGGAAATCTTCCTGGGACCAGAGTGAAGTTGTCAACTATAGTGTTGATTCTTTCGATTCTGCATCAGGGATTTTGTGTCCAGGTAGCAGTTTTGCAGAACCAGCCACAAATTTGGTATTTGATCCACGCAAAGAATGTTATTTTGAAACTGCAACTGCAGCATATCCACATCAAAGCACCTTCAGTAAAAGTGAAAGGGATACTGCCAAGGTATCTAAGCTACCAGGTACAATAATTCCGTTGCCTGAAGCTAAATATGATCAGAGTTCTATTTGCCTGGAGAATCTTACCATTCGGGAACTTCATGAGGCTTTTCGGACCACATTTGGGCGGGAGACTTCTGTCAAAGACAAGCGCTGGCTTAAGCGTCACATTTCCCTTGGTTTGCATAACTTCCTTGTATCTGAGAATGCTTCTAGTTTCTTAGATGGTAAAGTTTCTTCAAATGAAAGTGATGAGGTGAAACCTTATGCATTTGACAATGATTCATCAGAAGAAATCTGTGATTCCTTTGCAAAGGTAGCTTGTAAAAGAGATTCAGCAGATGGGAGTGGTGTGAGCAGGAAAAGACAGGGAAGGAAAGATTCTGTTACTACTCATTTACAAGGAGTTGCTAAAGAAGGATTTGGTGTTTCACATGTTGAAGAAACGGAACGCGCACTTGTAGGTAGAAAGAGATTGCGTAAGCCTACACGGAGGTACATTGAGGAGTCGTCAGAGATGAAATCAAGATTCAGGAGCGGAAGAACAGTGACATCTTTAAAGGACACACGGGATGACTTTTTACGCATTCGGTCTCGAGAGAAGCGTTACTGGAAGGGTTTCGAAGGAATGACTGTAGTTTCAAGACAGGATTCTCTTGGGGGATCTGGCATTCAAGTTCCTTTTGTCCTTCGCGTGCGGAGAGGACGCCCAAGGAAAAATTGCACCTCACTTTTGGTAAGGAAGCTTTTTTCTATCATGAATAAACTAGAAAATTTTCCCCTGTATTTTGATAGGTAGGCTAACATACAAATTGAATGCTGGACAAGTGTTTCCCTTTTATTGCTAATTATTGTTTGATCATCCAAAAGGATGTTGGAGTTTGATGAAATCAGGGAAGTGTGGCTTTGACCTGAGTGTTACTACTAAAATGTATCCAAGTATTTTCCTTTGTTAGGCATGTGTAATGTATCTTCAAGAATTTTTTTTAATATAGTTTGCCTTCAATATGTAAGTACTCAATTATGATTGGGCCAAGAGTGTCAGTGTTAAATAGTGTCAGTGTTAAATATTTGAATGCATCCTTTTGATCATGTGTGTGGTTTGCTAGTTAGGACAATTGATTCTTCTGTTTGCTTAATTAGTTGCCTGACTAATCTTGATCGTCAGTAGTGTTGTTGCCTGGTTTTCCACCTTAGCTGTTGCAGAACTGTTTTAGTTTCTAAGTGTTTAGAATGTCAGTCCTTGTTATTCAATAGGTTATCAGAAGGAACCTTTGAGAGATTTAAATAGCAATGTCTTTGTATTGATTATATTGTGTCATGGACTTGCCAAGGTGATTGCCTAGGTCACTCAAGCAATTGCATTGAAAGTAACCCGATCACATTTTGCCTTGGTTGGATTGTATTAAGCAATATGGGCACTTACCTAGAACTGCGCCATGATTGCCTCCAATATTTATACCTTGGGTTCTACCCTGGGTATTGTTGGTTTTGGGGGTAGTTGGTCCTTTTTTGAATCCAAAATCGATGGAGAAGTTTCTAGGAAGGGTTCTTTTCATGAGCTCTAAGAGGAAAATGCATCTCCTTATCTATTTTTGATGTCATTGATGTCACAAAACCTTTCCCAAGGATTTTAAAGAATCCAAACTTCTATAGGTAACACAGTGTGTTGAAAAGAATCAATCGTCCTATGATTAATTTTACTTTTGATTTTGGGATGGATCATCATTTTTTTTTTGTATTAGAGTAGTAGTTAGTTATAACTATACTTTGTTTTAGATGAGTAATTTTTTTTTCCATCACTTTTTTGTTTAACTTTATGTTTTTAGAGGATGTTAATTCATTTGGTGGTTGTTTGATGGTGTTTTTGTCTATGCAATTGTATTATGTTGTATAGATACGTATTATAAAAAATGTTTATACATATTGTGAAAATTCTTTAATAATTACATTTTTCATATACATTACGCCACTTGTATTTATAGAGTCTGTCCCTATGGTAGGCATTGCAGTCCGTACACCTTAAAATCTAGGGACCTCAATCCCATACGAGGGTGAGCTTGATCCAACTCCAAACTTATTTGGGATTGAATTGTAAATTTTACAGGACTGAGATCCATATTGTTAAAAATCAAGGCTCCATGTCAGCACATAGCTGGTATAGTAGTATAGTATGTACTACAATAATATGCTACACTTGTTATAGAAATCCACTATACTATGCTATATGCTACTATACTTAAATCTACTATACGCAACTGTATGACATACTATTCCATACAAGGATTGGGATTGAAGCAGATCTGCGATTGGGTTTGGGATCGTGACAAGTGGAAAGGTCCTATGGTAATGATTGTGGTCCGTCGACCCTAAAATCTGGGAATGGAGATCCCAATATGCGGGGGAGCTCGATTGAAACTTAATTGGGATATAATGATAAATTATACAGGACTGATCTGCACCTGATTAAAGTTGATTGCCCCGAGAGAAATTAACTGGTATAGTAGTATACTATATGCTATTAGAATATATCACATTTTTATGCTGTACTATACTCTGATATTATGCTATATAATATATCCTGCTGCTAATATATTTAAATCTAGGATTTTCTAATAGTAACACCTCGTGAATAAGGGTGTTTTTGTGATTAGAAAGGGTAATGATGATATTTTGCAATTAATTTCAAACAGTACGTTTGTGATATCGAGAAGGGCATAATTGAAATATTCACTAAAAGACAAGGCATTTGTATAATAGAGTACCTAAAACTTCACTCAATAATTTCCCTTGTCTTTTAGTGAAAATGTCAACAATACCGTCTCTAATGATAAAACTGCTCTTATTCATTTTAAAAACATTGTATAATTAAAAGGATAACTATGGTAATTTTAACAATTAAATCCCTTTTTAAACGTAACCTGTAAGATTCTATACGCTGTTACTGTTAGAAAAACCCTTAAATCTATTATATACAACTATATAAATATACCATGCTACAGAGGATATACTGCTACACTATACCACACTGCTGGACTATACTATGTTGCAATACTACATTGCTATACTATAATGCCGGGGAAATTGTATCTGGTGTAATTCAGGACCTTGATCCCTAATAGGAAGGATTAGGATTCCTAAATATATGAGTCATTGAGCAAGTTCCAATCCTTGGAGCAGAGAATTCGGATTCCAGAGCAGAAATGACCCCTTGCTAAGTATATCCTGGTAACTATGTACTTTACTGTATGATATATGCTATTTACTATACCACACCACTAGAGAATGCTATAATACTCTACTATAGTGTTGTGCTATACCCTATACCAAACTAGATTGCTACTATGCTACGAAGCTTGGCAATCTGGATCCTGTGTAACTCATGACCTGATAGGAAGAATCAAGATTCCAAAATTTAAGAATTGTGGAGGAGCGAGATCCCCTTCCTTGAAGCGCAGGATGAGATTCTGGCGTGGAATCAACCCATTGGTAGGTGGATCCTGGCGACCATGGTGTGGTAATTGTGTCATCAGTATTATTACTTTTTCTGAGATTATTATATATTGTGTAGTATTACGTGATGGCTGTTTAGCATGTACTTATTGAGATTTAGCATGTACTTATTGAGGTTTAGAGAGAGAATGAAGAGACTGTTGTTTTCTCATAAATGTGAGTAAGAAACTACTGATCATTTGAGGCAAAATAAATAACTCTAGATAGAGAAGATAGTTAAATAGAAGCCATAGTTACTCCTCTCAAGGCTCAATATGAAAGCCTTATGTGAATCAGCGAGAACCAGCAAAAGGATAAATTGACCCCAATCTTTCTTCTGCGAGAAAAATGGCAATTTTCTGACCAAGAAACTAGAAACATCAGCCACTACACCTTCCCAAAGAAAGTCAAAAAGGTTCCATTATAACCCAGATAGATCAAAACTTGGAAATTTAGAGTGTTTATTGTAGCCAAGAGGCATTGGAGACCCACTGATTCTACTGCCATCTGTAACTACACTGGGAAAAAAGTGGAGGCTCAGGAAAGTGCCTATTGACGGCTTATTTGACTATCCGTTCTTCTCAGGGAGGGTTCTTCAACGGCTATAGAAAAACTGTCAAGGACTCAATTTGCTTGAATGAGGAAAGAGCTAAAAAACCAGATGACTTGGGAGGGTTCCTTGACCAAGAAAGACCTGAATGCACAATCAAAATTGGAGTTTTTAAAGAGATTAAGTGGCCAGTGGTGTGGATAAAATCAAACTCATAGTGTGAGATAACAACTTTGATGTCCTCTGCTGCGTGGGCACAGTTGTGTGACCCAATGACTGACATGGGTACAGGGTATCGGATTTCTCACGTCAGAAGAAGAGGATTCACTGACATGGCTATATTATGAATGGACGAGCAAATCCAACAGTGTTTTACTAGTATTCCCTACCATGATGAGGAGAAAGAAATAATCATTTTGCCTTAATTGGCTGAATTTTACTAATTTTCTAGACATTTTCAAGGTTGAAATGTGTACTGAAAACAAAAAGAAGATCAAATTTCTAAAATGGTGTAATCAATGGTAGAAGGAGAGTCCTAAGAATCTGTCAGTGTGTGTCTTGAAACTTGTTCGACATGGGTGCAACACCAAACCGAAGAATCCATGTAACATAGTTGATATTGATAGAATTGAATCTGTCGAGAAACAATTTGCTTGAACTAGGGAATGTTAGTAGTGCAGAAAAATGTCAAAGATCCAATTTGCTTGAACTAGGGAAAAGTACTTGTGGAGAAAATCTCAATGATTCAATTGGCTTTAATGAGGAAAGAGCCCAGAAAATAGAGGAATTGTACAGAGAGAGACTGCTGTATCTATGATCAAGTCCATAGGAAAACCAGAAGTTGGGTCATCATTTCAATGGAAACTAATAATGGAGAAATTGGGAGATGGCAATTTGAACTAGGGTTTCGTACCCAAAAAACTGAGACCATTTGTTGAAGAAGCCATGGAAAATATACCAGAGCCAGAGTTTGGTACGAAAATGAATCTGGCTAAGGCTTTTAAGAGTTTGCTCTTGATTCCTAGAGAAAAATAGGAGAAAATAATGAATTTGAAGGGGGAAGAAAGGTCTAGAACTGGACAACAATTTGAGGCTTGGAACTTGTGAGATTTCTGCATACCACCAGTCACAGAGCTGATTTGCAAGCTGCTTTGTGGTGAGCAGTGAGCTGCTTCCCGGAGTCTTTCCTCCAATTGTTTTGTGAGTGGTTTGCTTGCTGCAAGTCATGGAGATGGATTAGGCTTGGGGAAAGATCAGGTATAGAGAAAGGCAAAGGGATCCCTATGTGCTGGCTCCATGGATTCTAACTGGTCCACTATCAGTGGCGCATAGTTTGTGTTTTCAGGTTTTAGAGTGGCCTAGCTCCATGAATGGCAACTTGTCCACTATCAAGGGAGCATCACTCAATGTGAGGTGCCAGGATATGCTAGATGCTGCTCATGCAAAGAATACCCCTTTCAAGTAGGGGTAGTTTGGCCATTCCCCTCCCCTTTGCCCCCCTCTTCCCCCAAAAAAAGGGTATGCTCCCATAAAATTTTCTTAAAAAAAAAAGGGATGGAAGAAATGAAGAAATAAAAATTTTCTTCAATTTCAAAGATTTTTGTGAAATTTTGTGGACTCTTTAGGCAGAAATTTGATTTGGATTTGCGTTATATTTTGAATGAGGTAGTTATTCATTATGTGATAGTGTACTCAGTAGCTAAATTCTATTTTATTTTTTAAGTGCTGGGTTGGAATAAGATTGATCAATTTATTTTACATGTTAATTGCATTAGAAAATAGAAGCAGAAAATGCCCATGTTACTTATTATTAGGCTATCAGCAACTCAAAACAGTGGATATATTAGAGATAGATACTAAATTAAAATATCTATTGTGGCATGAATCACATAATTATGTTGTTCTTTGTAGTCTTGTATTTTTTATCTTTTTGAACTTTATAAATTTATTTCTTCAACTTTATTGACCGCATTGGAAGTTAAGCGTCTGCATTGAGGCGCATAACACATCAGACACACCTAGCACATCGAGTCCACATCTCACATTTGCTAGCCTTTTATTTGGGGACACATCTGGTGTTCCTTTTTTTTTTGATCTTTCCATGTCGAATCAGAAGCTCTTCATCGAGCATTAGTTCTTGACCAAAAGCTTGATATTTGAAATTTAGATATGCTGCCATGCATAATTATACCATCTTTGTGGTCTAGTGTTCATTATACACTTGCTTTAGATCTTGTGTATTGGCCATTTATATGGGAGTTGATTTTTGATGGAGGTGGGAATATGGAAGTGAAAAAAGTATGAGATTAGGCCTTCTTTACAACAGAAAACATGGATTCATTAGACAAAAGTCCTAAAACCAGACATATCATGCAAGTAAACCCAAACCTCAACTTACGAAATAGAACTTCCTATCATGCTCCTAAATTCGTTACATAAAGATTAGACCAAAATAATCTGATGTACAACCCTGCAGAAAGGAGAGAAAATTAGACCCTAAGCTCATGATCATGCCAAGTTCCAGGTGCTTCTTTGTCCTCTTATTTTTGGGGTTCTATAGATTGTTGGTTGAACTGTGCAGCAATCTGTTTTGGTTTCATGTCTGTCTTGTTGCCCTCGGGATCGATGATGTTACTCTCTTCATTTCTCTCATGGCGTCATTATAAATGATTTTGCATTCAAATTTTGAGTTTCAGATCTTATACTTTCTGTGAGAGTTGAGTTCTTGCCATGTTACCTTCTATTGTTTTCTCTTTAAATTGTAACTATATTTGATTCATGAAAAGAAGCACAAATAGATATTTCATTTCGCTTCCCAATTGGGAAATTTCTCCCATTATTCTGCAGGTTACTTCCATATTTACAATTTCCTTCTTATATAATTTCCTAGTACCTCACATCTGTCCTCTATATACTTGACCAATATATTCCGGAGTTATGCAATTGCTTCCTGTTAGCTGATTACCCAATTCCTTGCATCTCAAAGGTTAATAGAATAAGTTAGTTTTCTATCTTGCTTTTCTACATATAGTGCCATTACTTTCTGCCATTACTCTTCCTTCTTAGTCAATCGGCTAAAGTTGAAATCTTCCTTTCTATTTATTTGTGTTTTTCTTTTCTCATCCATCTGGTTCACCTATGTTTAACCTCCCTACAATAATCGCCAAATAGATATTTGGATATGCTTATATAACGTCCTTCCATATCTTAAGTGTCTTTTATGAAAATTTCCTGAAAGACTGAAAGGGAGCTCATCCCATATCCAACCATTTGGTGCCCATCAGAGGAGCTCAAGGGCATTGTGTTTCTTGTGGTCGCATTTGAACCTTTTACAGAGTTTTCTACCTTTGATGAAGCTTAAATTGAATATCACTTGTAAATGGCAGATCACTGTGTTGGCTTTTGAGTGATCAATTTTAAGGTGCAACATAGAGCCTTTGTGGCTTCATGCATATTTCCAATCGATTGTTCTCCTGGTTTTATCTTCTTCTGATTTTTTCCATGTGATTGAGCCTTATGATACCAGCTCTGGACTACGTTATTCTCCCAATTTCTTTTATGCTAGTCGGCAAGCTTCCACCTTTTGGGCATTTTGTATGTTAAGCCTGCATATTGTTATTGGGATTTATGACTCAGGACTTTCATGCCTGCAAATTATTTTCAAATGAAAGAACCTTTCGGGAGAGGCAGTATATCATATTGACTGGTACATGGTATATGAATACTACAAGGGAATCCACTTTCCATTCCTGATGATAGACGGATGCAGAGTAATTGTATCGCCAAATCCGATTGGCATTCTGGTTTGATTAAGCTCTGCTGCCCATCATTGATAAGGCATGGGGGGTGCTCTTATTGTGTACTATATAGTATAAACTAGGTTTCAGTGGAGCAAAAACTTTTTAGTTGTGCTAAACACTATGAGCTCTACACTGGAGATTTATTTTTCTGTGCTGGTCCCTTGCATTATGTTTCAATTTGACATACGCTTTTGTTTTTCAGGTGCATGATGCCCAGGATGACAAGGATCGAATGCTACTTTCAGTTGTGCAAGATAAAATATACTCTGAGACACATTATGATGCATCAGATGACTGTGTTGCGACCATTAGAACAGCAAAGGGTGGTATTCGGAGGAAGCATCACCGGTCATGGACACTCCATGAAGTTGTGAAATTGGTGGAAGGAGTTCAAAGGCATGGAGTTGGAAAATGGTCAGACATAAAGAGGCTTGAATTTGCGTCATCTGTTTATCGAACTTCTGTCGACCTTAAGGTTAGTTCATCGCCCTGAGTTGAACATTTTTGGAATATTGGTCCTTGTCTTAATGAATAATTCGTGTTACTGTTGGTTTTCTTTGCCCTTGGTAATTTCTTTTAATGTTGGGTTGATTTAAAATCTTTGTAACAGGATAAGTGGCGAAATCTTCTGAGGGCTAGCTATGCGCAGTTACAGACAAAGAAAGAGGTTAGCTTTGTGAAACTTGCCTCGTTGAGAGTTTATAAGCACTCATGTATTATGGTCTTCATGAGTTCTCACCATGTTTATTCAAATGCAGTAGTTTTAGTGGAAAGTAAAATAATAAAAGGATTGGAAAAGAAAAGTACGAAAGGAATGGATTTTGATGTGTACATATTTCCGCCGATAAATGCTCATTGGCTATTGTATCATGACCCATTTTAGAACCATTTTGTGGAAATGAGTTCCTTTGTACCTCCATTGCTTTATAAAATGTAGAAAAGTAATTACTGGGAGGAACAAAATAATAACGTCACTATGTAATGAATAGCAGGCCTCTCTAAAAAGAAACAACAAAAGCCCCAAAAGCCCTTTTTAATTGAGGGGTTGTATATTATGAGACCATTTACTTTTGTTAAGGTTATAATTGCTCTTACGCATTTAGATGTCAAATTGGATGACAATAGGGTATGTTACAAGATTGAGAAATTATTTTTGAGCTTTGAGTTTAATCAGTGACATTCTTGCAATTATCCCATTTGAAATTTGTTTGATAGATAAGTGATTATGATATCATTGTTTTGTAAGTAAATAGTCTTGATAAAAAAAAAAACTTATGATGAAACGGTTGATTAAAAAAAAGACCTATGATCAAGCGTGCCACTAATAAAGCTTTCGCTATAAGACCGCCATCCCATATTTAGGAGAAAACAGATTTGATGTTTTGGTTCGTAATCTAACTCCAAGGGTGTCCTAGCCCTTCTTCCTCGTTCTTGTGACCGTTGCAAGGTCAGTCACATAAGATGTTACTGTTGCATATCTGATAATTATACATGGGTTTGCAGGTTGAGAATAAGAGGAAGCATGCGTCTTCAGTGTCCATACCAGCATCCATTCTGAAGCGTGTGAGGGAATTGTCCGTCATGTATCCAAAGGATCATCAACATCGACCACTTACTGAACAAGTCAACAATAGGAATGCTTTCATGATGGGCCGAAGTGGAGGGAATGTACATAAGAGGCTTCAATGTAATTAATCAATTGTCGTTTTTGGGAATTATTTTCCATCTGTTGTATTTTTCAACTAGGACGCTTCACCTGCCCCCTCCCATTCTCTCACATTTGTGCTGTACAGGCATTATGCAGTATGCATGTCTTTTGCTTGTCTTGAGAGCATGCATTTCTCGACCTGGAAGAGGATCATGATGATTGAGATGGGAGTTCCAACCTTAAGTCTATTGCTCTATGATACGAGTTCCCTATGGACCTTCTATTGTGGTTTTAGAAAACCAGAGGGTTTTTCAAAAAAAAAATTAATTTTTTCTTGTTACTTTTGTTAGTTGCACGACAATCTGACCCTAGGAATCAGATTCATCAACATGGAATTACTTTCCAAGCTATTTAGGGTCCCAATGACCTTGACAATAAAAGCTCTCTTTTATATTTTCAGAAATGGAAGTATAAACAGCTTTCTATATGAAGAAGCAAGGCCGCATGCCAGCACCTTGAAGAGAACATAACATATCAATATGCACTTGAATATTAGCAAATGCTGAAACGCAATCAACCAAGGGTAACAACGCAAGAACTACTTTTGCTCCACTTATATCAGCTAGTATCTTCTAAAATCGCCAACGAAAATGTCCTTCCTGATCACATGACTTAGTTTAAAGCACAACTATTGGAAGGGAAATGTGTTGAAAAAACCAAGCCTCAAGAAGTTCGCCAGAGTTGTACCAAAGCCAATCAAAGAAAAACGAACGCGATCTGGCTTATAGCTTTGTGGGCAGGGCATGAGCATCAACTATCAAATGTAAGACGAGCATCTATTTAATGTCATATAGATCTTTTTCTCTCTCTATATATATATATAGAGCAGATTTCATTCAATAGTTGTATCATAATATAATGCAACAACTTTCAAAACTCATGCTGTGGCTATTTGTTTGATCCAAATTTTGAAATATATACTTTTTCCATTTTAATAAACAATAAAAAAAAATAAAAATTTAAAAACACAACTTAGAAAGTAATTTTTTAATCCAATTAATGGAAACCGTTCATTTTGGTGAGATGCTTAGATCTAAGCTTAAGAGATTTTTTCATTTCAAAAAAATTTAGAAAGATTTTTTCATTTCTAATTTTTTTTGGATGACTTTATAATCATTAGATGAACAATGTTAAAATAAAAATTAATTATTTGAGTTTATAAAGGCTAAGATCTTGAAATTTACCAAATGAATGATCTAAATTCATTTTTGGAGGGGATTTATTTTGACCATAGGGTTCAAATTGAACTTTTTTTTGGGATTGATTGTTGAGATGAAGAGTGTGCAAAATTTTGGGTCATACAAGTACCACAAACATGATTTCAAGAAGTGTTGCATGAAATCATTGCATATATATATATATATATATATATATATATATATATATATATGGTGCGTAACCTAGTGTAGATAAGCTAAATGTACCAACGGCCTAGATTGAATCTGAGTCGATCATAGATGCTCGGTAGTGTCCAATAGTGTTTGAATTTTAATTTTTTTTTCTATAAATCCAAATCACTTGCAATTTTAGACGTTTGTTCTTCAAAAATAAGTGAATCTACAAAAAATATTTTAAAAAATATTTTACATGAAAAAAGTAACCAAAATACCCCTGTAAAGTTTCAAGGGTATTTGATCAATTTTTTTCATGTAAAATAATTTTTTAATGTTTTTCGTAGATTAGCCTATTTTTGAAAAACACTACCGGACATCTGTGATCGTAAGATCGGCCTATATTCAATTTGAGCCGTTGGCTTATCTACACTAGGTTGTGCACTTTGTCTTTTTTTTTTCTCTCTATATATATATATACACACACACATGAAGATAAATAGAAAAAGGAGAAATATGAAAAAGATCCAGGTCTCACCAAGCTTTTAAGTGCCCAAAGAAAGCTAGCTACACATGAGTTTGCTTGAAATGGATGAGATTCATGTAGATGAAGACCTTAGTCCTGCCAAGTCTTCCAATGTTAAGCTCATGGCTTCAGGTGATCCTTTTTTCACTTCCTCTCCTCGAGTTGCAAGGAGGTCCTCGATGCTTCCCGGCTCTCCAAACCAGCCTAGACGGTCGGCAATTAGATGCAAGTTGTTGCACCCATCGCACTTCACAACTACCACCCCTTTCTCATAAGATTCTCGACATACAGTCTTAACTGACCTGGTCTCACAAACCCTACATGTATAAATCATCGCCAAATTGTGCCTTGTTGAGACCTTCAAGCTTGATGAAGCTGCATATGAAATGTTTGGTGTCTCAGGTGATGAATCAGATGGTTCTGAAATTATGTTTTGAGACGCCATGTTTTCTTTGGCACCTTCAAAACGTTCATTGACAGAGCCAAGGTTTTCATCAGTTGATGGGTTTATATGAGCCCCTCTTATTGTTAGAATTTGTAGATGATAGGGATGAAGTTTGGCTGGAACTTCTGCAATGAAGAAAGTTGGTGTCAGCATTAGATTCCCTCTCTCTTTCTCTCACACACACACACCCCAACCATTCATAGGACTGACGTGGCTGAACATAGATCCTCAGACCCATGTTGATACTATGAACACCAAAGACAAGTAGACGTGTACTAGAAATAGAAGTTTCAACCGTTTCTGGCCTAAGTGCCGAAGATGAAACTTTGCAAATCGATTTCTTTCAACCATCATATCCACCACCGATGATAAGGCCTAATGGTCGTCTCAATCCCACTTGTTGAGTTCAGAGCCTCCATCCATGACCTGCAGCTCACAGCCAAACCCATAAACTCCGTTCCTACATTACACCTCATCTCACATGATATAGGTCGTCTTAAGAAATCCCAGGAGAACCAAAATTGTTAGTTTCACCTCGGGCTTCCTTATGTGCTCTGTCAACAAAAATATTTCATAGATCACATAATACCTATATATACCACTTCCCATAAAAAAAAAAAGCCCTATATAAATCAATTCGCAAGACAGTAATTTAAAAATTCAGTGAGCAGGGAAGTACAAGCCATCTAGGCCTCTGATGCATCCATTTCTGTTCAATCTCCATCAAGGTTACTATTATGGTTCCCTTCCAAAAGGAGGATGATGGCTATAAAGGTGAAGTAGATCTCCCTCAGATTTCTTTACATAAATAAAACTCTCCTATTGGTAAAGCATCTGAAGGAATCTATACTGAAGGCAGCCGATCTATTTCTTTATAGGGAGTGGAAGGAAGCTGTCAGATCATGTAAGTGCACCTCCATTTTCAGAAAGGCCTCACCCAATGTTTCAAAAGGCATCCGCCTCAAGGGGGATAGGGTTATAGGCACCTTGTCTAGCCCAATCCAGTGAACTTAGGCAGCCTATGGAGCAAGCCTTGACTCCCGAGGCAGCAGCTGGCACCTGCCTTGACCCAATGGCAGGATGCCCTTGGGCTATCGGCATATTCCATATTAATGTGGGAGGGGGGGGAAGATATTGGGGTAGTATTCCAACCCCACCATGTTGCTCCGTAAACCTAATTTGCATTTAAATGACAAACTCCTCATTTTTTTTTTAAAATTAACAGTTTTTTTGAAATTTTATTGATAAAAGAAAAAGATATCAAATCAAATCCAATTTTTTTGCATTTGATTATTTGTGCAATTATCATAATAATCATTATCATCAGAGCCTTTTTCTAACTAATTGGGGTCATCTATAAGAATCCTAGTCCGATATTCTGCTCTATCAAGGACCATACCCTCAGTTAGGCCCTAAGTGGCCATATCTTTTCTCAATACTTCCAACCATGTATTTTGGGCCTACCTTTGCCTTTTTTGAACCTTCTACTTGAACCACCTCGAACCTCCTAACATATGTTGTACTGGGTCTGTACTACACATGCCCAACCCACTTAAGTCTACTTTCTCTCATTTTATCAAAGATACTTAAAGTGCGCTCTTTTTGGTATTTATGGGCAGTCAATCTTAACTACTTCCTCGTATCTGCTCCTATTACTAAACTTGCATTCCATATACTCTGTCTTAATCTGGCTAATTTAAAAACCTTTAGATTCAAGATAATCCCTCCAAAGTTCTAACTTTGTGTTGATGCCGCTTCGGGTCTCATCGATTAAAACCATATCGTCCGACAACATACAACACGTGCCTCATCTTGTAGGTGCCTAGTTAAATCGTCCATAATTAAGACAAAGAGGTATGAGCTCAAGATTGACCCCTGATGTAGCCCTACTATTACTGAAAACTAACTTGTCTTTCCAATAGTTGTTCGCACACTAAATAGCGCTCCCTCGCACATTCTCTCACCAAGTTGATTTTACATCATAGTGAAATAAGAGAGGACAAGATAAAAAAGAGGAGATTTTAGATCATTATCTTAGTTTTGCAAACTCATGGTGAGAAAAGATATTGTGACTTATGGTGAGAAGAGATATGGTGTCTCATGGTGAGAAGAGATATGATGACTTATGGTGAGAAGAGATATGGTGAGTAGTGAGAAGAGATATATAGACTGATGGTCTGATTGAGGGTATTATGGTTTTGGACATGGAACCATAGCCATATGGCATTTGGAACACGATTATGTTTGTAGTTGTGTTACGTGTAGTATGTGATTGAAGATTTAACTAGTTATTTTCAAACTTCGAATTTTTCTTATCATTCAAAATTTTAATGTTCAATTGATTAACAGTACTCCATAATAAAACTATAACAACTTACATGCATTATATGCCCAATTTACTCATCTATACAATATATACATAAAAAGGTTTTTGTACAATTCAACATTCTAATGGTATTAGAGAACTTCTGCTCTCAAAATTTTGACCATAAAATACCCATCATTTGCATGGCTCTTATTTTGAAGTATTAAAGTATTAGAGCTAATTTTAAAATCTGTCTTAGATAGTAGGAGAATTACGTGTGCGAGAGTCTCAAATTTCATTTGCAGGCAATGTGAGAATTACTTCTACTGCCCCTCCCCTAAAATTAGGATTAATACAACTTCTGGGCATTTATGTTAGAACTTTTGATAGTAGGGTTTTCTGACATCGCCATCAGGAAGGTGAATTGTAGAAGAACCCTTGCATGCAATGTATATAACAAATATGTTTATATGGGTAAGGCTGGGGCACCTCAGTCTGTATAACATAAACAAATTGATATAATGTCTCGTATATGTATATATGCATGACTGTATCTATCTAGGAAAAAAACAAAAAAATGCTATAACATTTTTTCTATAGTAAGTGCTCAGACACTCTAAATTGTTTGATCTTAATTGGAAGGTTGAGACTATCAGATTTTTTTTTTAACTTCATTTTGTATAAATCGGATTAGAGTGAAATTTGGGGCATCTATCCTCCATACAAGGGTATACTTCTAACCAAAAGATTCTAATATTTTAAAAATGATCAAAACACCCAGAAAATTTTAGAGGTATGCCCAGAAACTTTGTATTTTGGTCATTTTAAAGTATTGGTTTAAAAAAATAAAACAGGTGTGACCTTGTTAGAAGAGTGGATGCCCCAAATTTCAATTCCATTGGATTTAATAAAGAAAATAAATTTAATTAAAACAGTGGACGCACTATCAATTAGTGTTTTAAAATGTGGGATGCAGACCCAATGAGGTTGGGGGACCGATGAGGCGATGTGGCTTCATGCATTCCAGATGCGGACGCATCACCTCAATGCGGTCAATAAATATAAAAAAAATTCCAAAAAGTCTAAAAAAATAGGTTAATGCATGGAAAAAAATATCGAGGTGTATGTAATTGTAGGTATTTAATTTATTCATTAACTCCCAGTTAACTATTTCAAATTTTTTTTTTTTCATAAACTTCAATATTATCAGCTGTAGGATATTCCAAATCCCTTGATAGAAGATGTTAGAAGTAGAAACTAGAAACTTGAAGTAACTTTATAGAAGACATTAGAAAACATCAAATGTATGTGGGCACATAGCGCTATGAGCCGGGATGTACTGCATATGTGGGCGCATCTCCAAAAAGCGCATATGCGGCTTGAGGTGATATGGCTCAGGCCGCATAAAGCGCTATGCAGCCACATTTTTAAACACTAATCTCAACCGTCCAATGGAGATTGGACCACTGAGATTTAAATCACACTACTATGGGAAAAATGCTAATAGTGCATTGTAGTTTATATTTAGGAGAAGTGTATCGCGTGTCAGGGGATGCATGTTCACATGTGTGTCCCCTAATGCGGCTAGCATCCATCTTAGAGATGGATATTAAAACCTAAATATCCCACCAAAATTTATAAATCAAAAGTCTAAAATAATACATCAAAAACTCTTTTTATTTTTTAAATTATTATTATTATTTTGTATTCAGGTTCACCATGGTATAAATTATTAAAGCCTAAAATTTTTGGATCCAATATCTATCTCTAAGATGGATTTCAGAGGGAGGACTCACACGAATAGATGCGTCATCCGTCTCATAGAGACCTTGTTCTTATATATAGGGAAATTTATCTAAATACCCAACAAGACATGAACTATTTAACGTTCTAACCATATCTTTTGATTTAATTTCAAATACCCACATAAAGACACACGAGTATGAGTTGGAAAATTTGCAAATGAGTACCATGTTAAGTCGTTAATCTCTTATGGATATTTTGATAAATTTCCCATATATACACGCATAGACATACAAATATGCATGGGTGCCTGAAGACTAAGGCGCTCGCCTAGGGTGCCAGCCCCCCAGGCTGCCTCAGTGATGCCTACCACTTATTTATACATTAGCCTCACTGCCCATCAACAAATGGACCCTAGGCACCTGTCTCCAATTCATCTCATTCTCCTTGACCAACTTTCCAATTTAATGCGTGGATCGGCCTCTATCCTAGCTCTTGTCCCTCTCTCCCTCAAAAACCAAGTTGCACCTTATGCTATGTTTCTGCTTTTCCTTGAAGGTCAATTGGGAGAGCAAGAAGAGAAAGGTTTTGTAGGAGAAGTTGAGGCCATTGCAGCTGTAGCCAAGGTCGTAGGAGAGTTAGGCAAAATGGCTGTGGTTGAGGTAGGTTTCCTGGGCCCTGATGAGTTGTAGAGAGTGGAGAGGATGACATGAGAGAAGGAAGATGACATGGCTCGGAATTGAAGGAGATGGTGACTGGTTTCTAGGAAGAGGAGAGGATGACGAGAGAAGAGCGAGAAGGACGACAACATATGCTTGAGTTGGAGCTGCTGGTGACAGGGGGGGAGGGAGGGATAAGGCAGGGAGAGACATGAAATGGGTTAAAAGCATTTCACCAATTTCTCCTTCTCCTTTCTGCTCTTCTTATCTCTCAACCCTCTTTCTCCTTCTCCCACTTCCCATTATGATCGGTTACAACCATGAATAATCAAACAGTTCAACACTGTAATTTATGGAGGGGTTTGCAAAACAAAGGATATGTTTTGGGATGGTTTTTTTGTTTTTGTTGTGGGGGGGA